GGTTTGGTGAGTGAATTATCTGGCCAGTGCACAATGATTCTTCAGTATTCAGTCAGTTTGAGTCATATGATGCAAAACCCTGGTTAGATTACACTTGGGATATTGTGAAGAATGGCCTTGAAGAATGTGCAATGTAGATTTATCAGCATGATACCTGGACTGAGTTCAGGTGAGACTATCCTGTATATCAAGGCAATATCTGGTCGAGTGCAGCAAAACTGATTGGAATCAGGGGAACAATCTCTACTTGTTAGTTATTTCAAATATATATGAAGATGGTTGTGGTTATTAGAGGTTAACAAGCAGCCCCCAAATAAACCTCCAACATTGAACCATCTCCATCACTTCATCAATGACTTTCCCACCATCGTAAGTGCGAGTGGGGTTCTTTGCTGATGAGTGCACAATGTTCCGCACCATTGGTGACTCCTTAGATGCAGAAGCAGTCCGTGCTTAAATGTAGCAAGACCTAGACTTATATTGAGGCATAGGCTGGTTGGTGGCACGTAACTTTCTCATCACAAAATTGTCCGACAATAGAATCTAACCAATCACTTGTAACATTCAGTGGTGTGCATTGTCGGATCTCCACTGTCAACATTCTGGGGTGAGCACTGATCCATAACTGAACTGGACCAACCATAGGTGGAGACAAAAAATGGAATTTTGGGGTGAATAACTCTCCTCCTGCCTCTTCAAAGCCTGTCCATTCATCGTCAAGGCAAAGGTCAGGAGTATGATGGAATACTCCCCACTTGCCTGGGTGAGTGTAGCTCCAACACTCAAGAAGTTCAATACTATCTGGAATAAAGCAGCCCATTGGATTGACATGCCATCCACCACATGCAATATTTACCTGTCTACCACCAACACACAGCGGCAGCAGTGTGAACTACCTACAAGACACATTATACTAACTCACCAGGGCCCTTTGACATCAGCTTCCAAACCCATGACCTGTCTCATACCATCTAGAAGGAAAAGGGGCAGCAAATACCTGGGAACACTGTGATCTGCAAGTTCCCTTCAAAACCGTGCACCATCCTGACTTGGAAATACATCAGCATTCCTTTCTGGGCGCTGGACAAAATCCTGGATCTTCCTCCTTAACAGCACTGGTGTCCCTTCACACCAAGGACTGCAGTGGTTCAAGAAGGCAACTCACCACATCTTCTGCAGGGCAATTAAGGATGGATAATAAATGCTTGCTCAGTCAGTGATGCCCAGATACTGTGAAAGATTTTCTAAAAAAAATTAACAATTAAATAATGAAGAGAGATTAGCCAAGCTTGGGGGTATTCCCTACAGTTTAAAAAATGAAAAATTAAGTGTTTTTTGAAGGTTTCCAGATAGGAAGGGTTACTCATAGGTAAAATGGAGAAAAACTATTTCTGTTAGTTATGGAGCCAAGGACAAAGGCGACATATTCAAAAACCTAGCAGTGAAATGAATCAACACTTCCACACCAACGTCTTCATTTTGAACAGAGTTGACGGATTTAGTTAGGGAATATTCCAACCCCGAGCCTTCTCTAATTCCAAGATGCTATTGGTTTTTCTCGACAGTTTGAGAAGCAGTGGAATCTATGTTGGGATTTTTGACGAGGTTAAGATGACTGACAGAGGCATGTGACTTTGATCTAACCCTTAGTGAGATGCTGAGAGACTATTTGGTACGTGAGATTAATGATGTAACCATGCAAAGGCACCTACTAGTTGAAGCCCAACTGGACTTCAGTCACTACAGCTGGCTTCATCATTGGAAGATGCAACAAGTGGAGCATATGAGTTACAAGGTATGCCAATGGAAGTAGATATCCTCGCCAGGCTGACTGAGCTTGGGGAACACCACTTGAGTGAAGACAATTGCAAAGCCTCACTCCGAACGTATCTTGAACAGAGGGACCCTAAGTCAAAACCTCAGCAAAACCTCAAAACAAAGCCAAGCCTCAGCCAAACAGTTAAGATTTTATTCAGGATCCGGGCCAGCATTGAAGTTGCTTGTCGGTATGTGGTCTCGAGATATCAAAAGAGTCCCATTGGGCCTGAATTGAGTAAGAGAACGCATAGGCTAGTATCCAGGAGAGTGCACACCCTGGAAAGCCCACCTACTTTGTACAGTTAAATTATTTAATAACATCCAAATCAGAACCAAGCAAAATAAAAATCTGGTTAAATGGTCATCCGGTTCTAATGGAGGTTGATGCCAATGCAGTTGTATCAGTCATTGCAGAACCAGTCTTTATCAAAATTCTATTTGGAATCCAACCCTTTAGTTTGCATAAGACCTTGGCTAGACTGAGAACCTATACTGGGGAACCTTTTCAGATTAAGGGTACAACTTCGGTCCTGATCTTGTATGAGGAGCAGCTTCTTCAGTTGCCACTGATTGTAGTAAAAGGCTTGGGCCCAAGCCTGATGGGGTGAAATTTGTTGAGAAGGATTCACCTCAATTAGCTGAACATTTTTCGATTAGAAAATGGCTGCCTGAGTGAAGTCTGAATTGAATACCTATACAATTTTCAGGAAGATCTAGGTACTATCAAAGGAGACAAGGCTGTCTTGCGTGTTGACCAGGAAGCAAGAAATGGCAGAGGAATTGAATAAATACTTTGCATCTGTCTTCAAAGTAGAAGGCACTCAAAACATCCCAAAAATATTAAATAATCAAGGGGCAAGAGGAGAGGAAGTATGTGCAATAACTATCACCAAAGAAAAATTATGGGAGAAAAGGGAAGACTAAATGGGGGTAAAGACCAATATGTCCCCTGGACTTGATGAGATGCATGCGAGGATATCAAAGGAATTAACTGCAGAAAAAGTCGATGCACTGGTATTAATTTCCCAAGAATCCTTCAACTCTAGCAAGGTCCCAGAAGATTGTAAAACTGAATAAATTTATTAGAATTCTTTGAGGAGGTAACAGACAGGCTAAATAAAAGGGAAGCAGTGGATGAAATGGGTTTCAATTTTCGAAAGACATTTGCAAAAGTATCATATATTAGGCTACTGAATTAGGTTAGAGCTCATGGTGTTAGAGGTAGTGTCGTAGCATGGAAAGAAGATTGGCTAATTAATAGAGGGCAGAGAGGAAGACATTTCCAGAATGTCAGCGTTTAACTAGTGGAGTGCCAATGGGATCAATGCTGATGCCACAGTTATTTACAATATATGTTAATGATTCTGATGAGGAAAGTGAATGCGGAACAGCCAAGTTTTCAAAGGACACAAAAATAGGTGAGAAGGCAGGTGGTGAAGATGACTCAAAGAGTCTGCAGAGGGATGTCGACATGTCAGATGAGTCGGCAAAAAAAAACTTGGCAGATGGAACCTAATGTGTGAAAATGTGAGATTATGACTTTGACAGGAAGAATAGAGGAAGTGCCTGTTATTTAAATGGAGCAAGACTGCAGAAAACTGCAGCACAGAGGATTTGGGAGTCCTCGCGTATAAATCACAAAAAGCTAACCTACAGGTTCAGCATGTAATAGGGAAGACAAATGAAATGTTGGCATTTATTTCAAAGGGAATGGAATATTAAAAATAGGGAGGTTTGTAAAAACTATATAAGACACTAGTCAGACGATGTTGGAATATTGTGAACAGTTTTTGTTACCTTAGATAAGGAAACCAAGGTGGTCCAGACAGGATTCCCTAGGTTCATCCAGGGTATGGAGGGACTGTCTTTTGAGAAGAGCTTGGGCCCTGTACTCATTGGAGTTTAGAAGAATGAGAAGCAACCTTATTGAAAGATACACAATTCTTAGTGGGAGACATGATAGATAGATGCGGGAAGCATGTTTCTCTTTATGGGAATGTCTAGGACCAGAGGGCTTTAATCTCAGAATAAAGAGTTGTTCATTTAAAACAGAGATGAGGAAGAATTTCTTCTCTCTGAAGGTAGTGAATTTGTGGACTTCTTTGCTGCAGAGGAGTGTTGAAGCTAGGTCATTAAGTGTATTCAAGACTGAGATAAGTAAGCTTTTAACCAGTAAGGGAAACAGCATTATGGGGAAAAGGCAAGAAAGTGGAATTGAGGATTATCAGATCAGCTGTGATCTGATTGAATGGTGAAGCAGACCTGATGGGCAGAATAGTCTATGGCTGCTCCTACATCTTGCCGTCATATCATGGGACAAAGACAGGTGTGTGGAATTGGGTGACAGATCAGTCACCTCATTGAATGACAGAACAGGATCAAAGGGCTGAATGGCTTCCTCATGTTCCTGAACTTCCAGTGTAAAGGCATCGAAGTGGAGTTAATAAATGGGAAAGGAACAGTCTGGTTGAACCTATAGTGATCTTTTCTTGTAGTTCCCTCTCTGTGTGTGAATACTTTGTCAACTTTTCTGTTTGTGTGGAGATATATTTTGTTTGCAGCCTGTTACAAATTGCTTTGTTGTCAAACCTCCTCCCTCCTGTATCTGTTAGCAATCTATGGGCGTCTGTGTGGGATCTTGTGCAGAAATGTGTTGGTGTTTGTGTGTTTTTGTGTTTGCTGTGCTGTGAGTTTTTTTTTAAGTCTATGCCCATGAATCAAGAGTCCCATTTGTGTTAGCGAAAAAATACCTTGCTTCTTTTTCTCTTTCCTTTTGTTCATCTTTTCAAGAAGGTTACACAGCTCCAGAGGGTGAGGGTAGAGTATGTTTGTCACAATGGTGTTTAGGAGAAGGGCCTGGGACTAGCTGGGCTTTCCCCATGTTTGTGTGTCCTGCATGCATTGGGCCGACAGACCAATGTAGGCCGTGCATGTGTGGATCACCTTGCACAGTCGCAGCCCTCCCCCACCTCAGTGTCAACCTTCAGTGAGGGGGAGCTCACCTCAGGCAAAGCACAGCTTCGACCAATTGGTCTTGGCTCCCAGTGATGGCCAGGTTCAACACTCTCATTTTTTAAAAAAGTTTCTTTCTTTTAAAAAAAAACAAATGTGACAAGTTTTCTAATGCCATGCATCTCTTCTTCTTTGTTCCAAATTGATGTCTCCCCCCTCATGGCGAGCAGTTTGCACAGGTGAGTGGACAGTCCTTGCTTCTAATGGAATGATTCTGGGAGTGACTGGATGTGTGACTGGGACCAACAGTGAGTGATTGAGGGAGGTCCATGGCTGGGATTGCTATCACTTTCTACCATCCCAGTGTTTCCTCTGTGGCTCTTAGTTAAAGTGTTCCCATTAGTTATAGAGTCTTAGAGTCATAGGGCATGGAAGTAGACCCTTTGGCCCAACTCATCCATGCTGACCAAGTTTCCCAAACTTAACTAGTCCCATTTGCTGGTGTTTAGTCCATAGCCCTCTAAACCTTTCCTATTCACGTATCTGTCTTTTAAATGTTGTAACTGTACCTGCATCTACCACTTCCTCTGGCATCTCCTTCTACACACAAACTACTCTGTGTGTGAAAAAGCTGCCTCTCAGGTTCCTTTCAAATCTTTCTCCTCTCACCTTAAAAATATACCCTGTGGTTTTGAACACCCCACCCTAGGGAAAAGATCTTTGCTATTCACCTTATTTATGCCCCTCATGATTTTTACAAGGAAACCTTTATCAGTGTTGTCACTTGGTCAGTGTAGTCTATTGGAAATCTCTGACCAGCCAGGAGTGATGCTATGCTAATACGGTGTGGAGCTGGATGAACACAGCAGGCCAGACGGCATCAGAGGAGCAGGAAAGTTGATGTTTCGGGTTGGGACCCTCCTTTAGAAATGAAATTCTCCATTTCTGAAGAAGGGTCCCGACCCAAAATGTCAACTTTCCTGCTCCTCTGATGCTGCCTGGCCTGCTGTGTTCCTCAAGCTCCACACTGTGTTATCTCAGACTCCAGCATCTGCAGTTCTTACTATCTCTGAGTGTTGCTATGCTAACACTGTTTTAACCACTTGTTGTAATTGTAGTAGAAACTTCTACATAGGCCTACACTTTTTACATGTAGATTTACTTCAGTAGCCATGGAAGTACAGCACTCAAACCAATCGGTCAACTCCCCGCCTTTTATTTTTCTTTTTTACCATTAAACACAGAGGTCACATGTGCGAGTGCAGGTATTGAGTTCACATGACCAACAATCATTAGTGTCGCTCATTTATTCGCTAACCTGAATTACAGTTAGCCTCACTGAAATTCCCAGTACTGGGTAGATCATTGGAGGACACAGTAAGTGTGCGTGTTTGTGCTCGGCATGGTTTCTGAACCGCCTCGTCCCAGACGGTAATATAACCCCCGTTGTTGGTGGGATGTGCAGGGACGGATGATTGCAGGTCACTCGCTGATGACCATTGATGTTGGAACTTGCTACCACTCACTGTCCAGCCATAGTCCGGCCCAATGCACTGATTGAGCCCCAGTACTAATCCAGGGAACAGAGGCTGCAGCCTGAATTATTCTCTTAACATAGAGGAAATAAAGAGGGGTTTTCATAGGAGTGTTCAACATTATTAGTTACGAATGTAAGAATGGGAGCAAACCACACGGGCCCTTGAACCCACTCTTCTGTTCAATAGCATTGAGACTGATCTGCATTTAACCCTGCTTCCAACTCACTACATCCCCGTAGACAGCAAGAAACTGGCAGGAGGCTTAGTAACCAGAGGACACAGATTTAACATAAGAGGGGAAGTTAGATTTTTTTTTGTGTAGTGAGTAGTTACAGTTGGGTTCATGCTGCCTGAAAGGGCGTTAGCAGCAGATTGAGTGCTAACTTTTGAAAAGGAACTGGATAAATACTTGAAAATTGAAAATCTGTAGGGGAAAAAGTGGGCCCTTTAAAAGAGCCAACACAAACATATTGGGCTGAATAGCTTATTCTATGATAGTGAAGGACAACTAAATCAATCTATTTGAAGAAGGAGGAGAAGCTCCAGAACACTGGGAATGTCTATATTGAGAAATGGTGGCCACAGAGAGATTTTACTAAAGATGTGATGAGAAAAACATAACTTGATCTTTCGCCAGAAACTCTGCAATTTGGGTTCAGCTTTCATCACAGAAAAGAGATGTTTCAGATTGAATGAATTGGCGCAGGGAGCAGTAAATATAATATGTGGAGGGAATATACTTGCAGGAGCAGTGCAAGCAGATAATCTAAATAAAGATATTCCTGACTTAAGCTAATAAGTAATTGACAGGGGAAAAGTGTGGGTGCATATGAAAAATCTAGAATTTTCTTTAACCCTCTTTACCTGGAAATACCAGTTCCCTAGATGCAAAGGTCAATAGCAAAGCAGTGGAGATTCTGAGCTCAGACAGTATAGGTGTCCATTGCATTTTTTAGGTTTGGGCTAGAATTCCTATGGGTTTCCAGGGCTTGGCAAGGTTAAATAGGTTGGTGGTAGCTGAGTTTGGGCAGTGTGAATCCATTGATTCAGGCCCAGTGAGAGGACGGGTCTCCCATCGACTGCCTGTTTTCATCACCGTTGACTTGTCGGACTTAGAGCAGGGAGATTGCCAGTGACTATCAAACCTCTGAAAGTCCTGGCATTCGCCCAAAGATCTAGAAATGACTGAAGGTAGTTGGAGGACAAACACTGCATCAGGCTTCCAAGGGTGGTACCAAACCCTATCAGGGCATCTCTTCCATCTCAAAGGCTGAGGATATGACTTGTTTCTGAACCAGCACTGGTCCTTGCTGGAGGATGACAGGCTGATAATGTGAAGATTTGTCCCTTAAACTTATGTGCCTTTTCAACTTGTAACCAACCAATTCGACTGGCGTGGCTCATTCAGGCCTGACTGTTTCTGTGCATCTAGAAAGAAAGAACTTGCACTCAATAAATCTGTTTTTTTTTGTGACATTGGTTTGTAGGACAAAGATAGGCTGTCTACCATTGCAAAGATGACCCCCATCTCTTTGAATATTGCTGAGAAAGTGGTGATAGCCATTTTCATTTTATTCTTCCAGTCAATGTGTTGACCAATCATAGTTGACCTGCCTGGCTTTAATTTAAATAATGCTTGTCATTTAACTGTCAGTCATCACCTAACTGTGTATTGTCCATGACAACACCTCTACCGATCAGTGTTCACTTGCCAACCAATCAGTACTCTATTCTCATACAGTATAAAGTGTTGTTTCCCCTTTACATTGGTGTTCCTTCCAAATGTTCTGATGAAAAACTTCACCAAAATGTGTCTCAAAACAGCAACACTCAAGTTCTGTGTCCCCCACATTGCTACTCCTTTAAGTAGTGCTTCTCTTAAGAGATGCTCAAAGGTACGAGTCTGTACTCAGCGGATTGGTGCAAACAGTTCCCATCAGCAGAAGGATTGAGAACCAGAGGGCACTGAGTTGAGCAAAAGCAATAATGACCACGCAAGGAAGACATTTTTCTTGCAGCAAGTGTGAGAATCTGCACTGCATTGTCTGAGAGTGTGATGGAGACCTTTCAAGAGGTTCAAAAGGCAGAAATTCACCTGTACTCCTTAGACAACACTGTTCAAACACATGACCACTACTATTAAGAAGGGTAAGGGCAGCAGATGCATCGGGACACTGCCATGGGTAAGCTACTCATTAAGTTACACACTGTCCTGGCTTGGAAGTATATCACCATTCCTGCAATTTCAAAATCTTTGATTTCTTCCTAACCATGACTTTGGGCTTATTGCATCAAATAGATTGCAGTATTCAAGATGGCAGCTCACCACCACCTTCTAAAGGGCAATTGGGGACTTTGTAATAAATGTGGGCCTGCCCAGCAAAACCCACATCTGATGAATGACTGTAAAACTGATAATAATTGTTCAATAATATAATTTTTATAACATATAAACTAATCATTAAAACATTTCTGGAGAGGAAAATGATGACAGGGTTATGAGAAAAGACCAGGAGAGTGGGGGTGGCTGAGTGACTTTTACAAACAGGTTAGGCCAAAATGCCTCCTTTTTAATGCTGTAACTGCCCTCATAAAATTCTTTATGAAGAGTAGGTTACTGCAGTTTTGGAATTGGTGCTTGCTGGCCCCGATCAGCTAAAGAAACCTAGTGACAACACTGCTTGGTTGTACCTTTTACATTAGGTGAATTCCCCTTGTAATTATTTCAGACAAGGAGCTTCAGAACAACCCCCAAACCCTTCAAAATGTGCTGTTGAACAATACAGATGGATGGAAACCATTTGAGCTAGACTGCGTGTGTATTTTCTGTGGAGTGAAGTTGTCAGTGCCATTTGTGAGGCTGGGTGAATGGTGTTGGAATGTTTCAGCAGTGATGGATAATGCTTCCTTATGTGTTGCGATTTCTCCTCCCTCTTTAGTAACCATGGGGTTAAGCAACGAGAGGCCACACTTTCTCCTCCTCTTCCCTCTCCCTCTGTGAATTCTGCAGGGACTTGTCAGGAGGGTGTGTTCTGCAGGTCTGGGTGTGAGTCACTTCTTGATCACAGAACGCATGGAGGAAGCGACTCCTCTGCCCATTTGAACCCCAAATGTTCTGGGGTAGGGAGTGAGGAAAATTAAAAAATGGTGCAGAAAGAGCATGGACCTGGGTTTAATCCTCCATCAGAAATGAGAAGCTGCCCTTTTGCCCTTTGATGGATGCTGATTCTTCGGTCGAAGGTGGGACACTGGATTCATTTCTAGGTCTGACAGCTAGTTTTAATGTGAGGTGATACTGCGGGAAGGATAAGATCTCTTCATCAGCAGCTATCTTCTCCTTTTCAGATGTTAATTGATGAATTTGCTATGTGTCTTCAACACGTCGGGTATTCCTAAATTCCCAGTGCACAACTCTCTAGTTACCAGACGTGGAAACTCTGAGTAGCTCATCAAAGTTGAACTTGTGTGTATCTCCACCTTCAGTGGCAAAGGGGATCTAGGTAGATGCTGTTAGATCAGTACCTGTGATTCTTTACTGATAAGCTTCAAATTAGCTTTGAACCTCTGAGCATTTCTGGATGCAAATTGTTCCAAATGCCAACAAGATTGGCTATGGAACCTGGGACGTTCCCGGTAATTCACTGTCCCAGAGCTTTCCAATGGACAACGGCCAGAGGTGTGTCACCCAATTAACTCTGGGCTGATTCATGAAATATCCTGAAGATTAAACTAAAGAGTTGGGAAAACTGCTGTAATGCTTGTTCAGTTTCTGTTTCACCCTGTATTAAAACTTCAGTCAGCAATTTCATCTGAACAAGAAGCTCCTTATGATCTTTCTGAGAGATGCTGTGAATCTCTGTACAAGCACTAACTCTTTCTGTTTGCACTGCACTTCATTTCTTACTTCCACTGATCTGGCTTTAGAACTTTAATTGTGCACTTTTTAACTTGAAAAGGTGAAAAACATAGATTAAATTTCAATCAAGTGATTCAAAGCTATTTGGATTTCTATGCTGAGAAGCGGTAACCATGAGGTAAGTTTACTTTTCAGGCTGTGGACAGACATAGATGGTTGAGCTGTATTTTTGAGGTCTATTGGATTTTGTATTTCAGAGAGTAGTCACTGTCCACAAGAAGATGGATTAATTTAGAAGATGCTTGGAGTAGAAGATAATAGGAGGTATTTGGAGTCACATGAGGGAGAGGAGTGTGGATGGGAAGAGTTGGAGTGGGATGGGACATTGTTGGTGATGTGATGCCCAGCTCTGTTCCTGGAACCCCCTCTACTGTGAGCCTTCTCATGTGATCCCACGCAACAGGATCAGACTAACCATGGGGCAAAGGGATGGGTTAATGTACCAAACATGCAGCCTTTTCCTGGAACAGAAGGTTCATCTTCGGGTGCTGTTTTAAGTCACTCAGGACTTAATTAAGGGCTTAAAAGATTCCTTTGATCAAATTTGATAATTATTGACACATTGGAGGCACAGAAGATGAGACAGAGGGTCTCACATTGGATGGTTCAATCAGACAATGAAGGGCTCATTCACATTTCTAATGGTTGGAGTTGATTTACATGTCAGTAGGCCAATGGGAATGGACCATTGTGGAGACCATGTGATGAAACTCCATGAATACGCTCCGTGCAACACTGGAGTTGGGATTGAGCATTGAGGGGCATCATTTATCACTGATTTTGACCCTCTCATCACCCGTTATCAGCACACAGTTACCATCCAGGAGGGATTGCTAGAGAGCGGTCAGCCCTGCATCAACCATCAGTCAGACCTGGGGACCATGCTTGCTTTTCCATTGTACAATGAGCTGTAACTCTTTGATCTGAGGAGACCAACCAGTATTATCTACACCATTAACTTTGGATCTCATTGATGTACCACCTTAACTGCCTTCAGTAAAAAGAGACTGTGACTACCAGGTGGATCAAGGTGGACCTTTGAATCTTTTCAAGAATTCTCTGATCCCTGGGTGATCTTGTGCACTGAGGTTCTATTTGTCAGGACTTCACTGCTCGCCCAGTCTGACGGCCCACCATGCCATTGGGTCAATTATAAAAGTGGATAAACTGAGAGCAGCAAACACTTCATCAGTTGTGGGCAGCACTGCGCAGTTGCACCGTCAGGAGGTAGAGCTGCCTTTATAAGATCCTCCAGTTAACACAGCACGTTCTGCAGGATTGAACCAGCCACGTTGCTGGAACCTACGTCAATGTACAAGAACCGAGGCTTAGGATTTCACTGTCGACATTTTGCTTTGGTCCCTTCCCTCCTCCCACTGAAGGGAGTGTTTGCATCTTTGGTGGACTTTCGTTCCACATGGGATACTGAATGGAATGGGGGAAGACAACCAGTGGGAGATCTGGCTCAGCAGGCTGGCTGTTTCCAAGCCCAGACTCTGAGTGTCAACTCACTATTCGCACACATGAGCATCACACAGGAGGCCAAGAGAACTTGCAGGGGGTCACCTTCACCATCTGAACTGATCCATCCAGTCTATAGACTGAAAGTCAAACCTGTGATCCTTCAAGAACTTTCCGTCTCATCGGCTCTGCAAAAAGAGTTTAGTTTGAAAAACTAGTTGCATTGCTTTTTTTAATCTATTTTTATTAAAATGTTTGAAACAATGTTTTTTTTTAACACAGTGAATTGTTGTGGTTGGGTGCATGCTGCCCGGAAGGGCTGTGGAAGCATATTCAGTAGGAACTTCCAAAAAGCAATTGGAAAAATACAACCAGGAAATAGGGCTAATTAGACAGCTTTTTCAAAGAACTGGCGCAGGATGGGCTGAAGGGCCTCCTTCTACACTAAATTATCTCCTAACTCTTTTTTTTCCCCTCCATTTCCTTTTGCTGCAGACCCCCAGCTGAAAGGTATAGTGACGAGGTTATTCAGCCAGCAAGGCTTCTACCTACAGATGCAACCTGATGGAACCATAGATGGCACTAAGGACGAGAACAGTAACTACAGTAAGTCGTGAGGCCTAAACATAATGCACTGGCTTGGACAGTTCAACAACAGGCCCTGGGGGTGGCTGGGATGGCTCAGTGACCAATGGTGTTGCTCAGCGACAGTGGAGTGGGTTGATGATGGGGAAGGGGAAGGTTGGTGTTGCCAGGAGACCGTTAAGAGGCAGTGTTGCTGGGTGAGAGGGGAGTAGGGGTGTTGCTGGGTGAGAGGGGAATAAGGGTGTTGCTGGGTGAGAGGGGAATAAGGGTGTTGCTGGGTGAGAGGGGAGTAAGGGTGTTGCTGGGTGACGGGGGTGGGGACGATGGTGAGGACATTGCTGGGTGACCAGGGGGTGAGTGAGGGTGTTGTTGGGCAACCGTGGGGTGAGTGAGGGCGTTGCTGGGTGACCGGGGAGAGTGAGGGTGTTGCTGGGTGACCAGGGAGAGTGAGGGTGTTGCTGGGGGACCGGGGGG